AAACATCACCCTCTCCAAAACCCATTATACCACAGCTGGGTAAACTGCTCTGAAGCAGATGTTAATTGTAGAAATTCCCTTTTATGAACAGAACTGCTATTTGAGTAATGTGGGGGCTTGGCCATTACACGGCACTGCAGCTCAGGCATCATTCCCACAGGAGCTGAACTGCTCTAACTGCTCACCAGGACCAAATGAGGGACCTTGGCCACCTTTTCTTCCCCCGTTCCTCTCTTTTCCCTCAGCTTTTGCTCCTCTTCTGTTCCTTATTTCTCTTGACTTAGCAGTTACAACCCCTCAACAAGCATATTTGAATCCAATACAAGAGAGGGGAAAAAATAACCACAAAAACCCCAACACCACACATCTTAAAGCACATTAATCTCAAAATTTTGTGGGGAGTATAGTCACCTTCACTTGATAAATAGTTGCTTTTCCTAGAGACATTGTGTGTCTGATAGCAAGATAAAATACCCAATTTATTTCTTCTTTAATTTAGAGCCAGCATAAAGGAATTATATTGAGCCCAATAGGCTCAAAATTCTTCAACAGTAGGGTGGTGTCCCAATCAAAAACTTGTAAAAATAAATCCTGACACTGCTTCCAGACACTGAAAATCAGTTTTAGATACTCCATTGAAGTCAATATTCATCTACAACTGAGTGACAAAAAAGATATGCATAAATTCAAAGCAAGTCCATTGCTTCATTACCATTTTGTACCATAACTAAGATGTTCAAACAATGCAATATTTACGTCAGAAATTTCATTTGGACAGACTTTGCTACTATTTACATTACCAGTTTTATTGAAATGAACACTGCACAGATATAACCACAGCTTACTGTCTTAACACAGCAACACATGATTAGTCAAAAATCCACCCAGGAATGACTTCTGTAAAATTGGGAATACAGACTTCAGTGGTTGTCTAGGAGAAGGAGTGCTATGTTTTATAGTTTAACAGTCACTTCATCACAGTATGACACTTATCAGACAAGGTTAAATCTCAATACAATCAGCACAGGGAAGGAGAACAGAGAGTTTCATGAGCAGCAGGAGGGCTGTTCATATGTCCAGTACTGATGGACAGGGAAAGTTAATCATTCAAATATTAAGAAAGATTTCAGTTTAACCAGCTGCAGAGAGTTTGGCTCATTTTAAAACGCAATTTGTTTTCACAAAACATTTCCCCCTTTTTTTGCTATTATTGACAAGTATTTTGGCCTTACAGAGGAGTGCACTTGATAATACAAATTCGATACTATGAATGAGGAATAAATAAGTTAGATCATTAAAAAAAACTCCAAGAAGCTTCTAATGAACACTATAACCCCTGTTGCCAACAAGAAACCGTAAGTCTTTTCCATAAAAATTTTCATTTCTATCTAACAAACATACCATATTTAATGTATTTGAATTACTGTACAAACCTGTGCCATTTACAGAGAAGGGATTAACAAACAGAGTAGTACCCTAAACTCAGATATAGGAAGACACAAGGATGCTCTTTCAGTTTTTGTGCACTTCTGACAGCAGAGACAGCGTTGTTTAAAGTAAATAAACACAAAAGCTATTTCTATATAAAAATCAGGTAGCCAGATATTTCTGAAACTAGAAACTCTGTATTGGTAAATTCTGACTTTGTATGTCAGACAAGCTTCCAAGACTGTCATTTAAAAATTATAAAGTCTAAAAGCAGAAAACATTGCCCAGTCAAATGTTTTCCCACAACTTTCCCATTTGATTCTGTCGTCTCCCCAAGTCTTAATTCCACTATCTGCACTTCCCTGCTAGGGAAGTAATTTGGCTCATTCTTCCAGCTAACAGTCCCATGCTGTCATGCCAGAAACAGATTTTTGTGTGTGCATCTGAGGAAGCAACCTGCTGAGTTCTGCTCTTCCAGAATTTGTTGATGCTATTTCTCTTAAAATTAAAAAATATTTTAAAAAATGCTGCTTGATAAAATTCTTTCGTCATGTTAAGCTCCTAAGCATATATCACTAAGTCAAGAGTAGCCAAATGGTACTTTAAACAGTTCTAATACACTAAAGCTAAATAAAAAACTCTACAAGTATGAGTTAGGAAACTACAAATAGATTTTTGTTGAAAAATCTACATTATGTAAGCTTCTCTGAAACTAGTGTGACTTTAAACAAAGAAGAAACAAAAGATTAAAAACTAGCAAGATTTTAAAAAAACCCAAACAAACAAAACAAAACAAAAAAACCCAACACACAACACAGTATTTCCTGATGGTTTTAAGCACACTCAAATCCTAAAAGAACAACATCTCAGCTGAACTGTGGGTGTGTAGGAGTTACAGTGGATTTCCATCAACTGCTTTGGGGATTGTCCTGGGTTTTACTTCATTTTCCCAAAAGTTTTACTGTAAGAAAAACATCTAGACTATTTGGAAATATTTTAACAAATTACTCAGCCAAATAACCAAGTCCAATTCTCTGATTTTATTTCCCCATCCATAGCTTTCAGAGGAAAAATAACCATATGCAGGGTGCACAAGGCAGAATCCATATTCTCCAATACTGCAGGTTAAACCATCAGTCATGCACACATTCTTAACTTTAAGCTGCAAAATCAACACACAATAAGGACTGGGATATGGTCTAATGTTTCATTAGACTTCAGCACTAGTTATTTAGTTTCCAGATTCTGTACCCTCTGAGTGTGTACATGGAAGTTACCAAACACCACTTTTGTTATTCACTGTTTTGTTAAAATGGCATATTGTTCATCAAATCCCTCTCTCCTCCTCTCCCTTCCTTCCTGCAAAATCCAAGCTCCTCTCACATAGAAGGAACTCTGCCAGACAGCAGAGACATCCACCCAGAAATCCTCAGGAGCTGCTGCCTAGGGATGCCAGCACACACATGTCCAGGTTACTGCAGGAAAAGAATAGATAGAACTTCCAGAGCTACAAAGCTGGGAACCCACACCCTGTTAGAAACACGTCCTTCAGAGCTGCTAACAGCCCCTCTAGTCTGGAGCTGATAGGTGTGCCAGAAGGCTTGTGAAAAGTTTAACAAATACAGACTTCAAGACTAACACAGTTTGGCAGGAAGAGAATCCTGTCAGTGGTGTAAGAGCTGAGACTGACAGACAGCCTCGGAGCCTGTGTGAGACCGCCACCAGAAACTTGTGCCTCTTGTGTGCAGCACAAAGCAGGGCTCCAAGGTGGTTACCATGCCCCTAAGTCCCTTTAACTGGAACAGAACACACTCCAGACCCGTGGCATTTCTCATTCAATTGAAAACAAAGAATCTGATTTTATCTAAATTAATTCCGGGGCTTCCCAGAATGAAGCAATTGTTTCTCTGAGTTACTCTATTTTAGTTAGTAGATTCATTCCCCCTAAAGCTATTTGGAAGCTGGATTGCAGCATCTCTCCACTGTCAGTGTTACAAAAGAATGTCTAATCAGGCAGAGTACTGAAAGCAGAGCAGCAGCATGACCATCTCAGCTGCAGGACAAAAGAGAGGAGATGTAAGATAGGCAGAAATACTGTGTTGTAGAGCAGTTAAGAACAGAGCCCCTGGACAGTTTGTGCAGACTGGACAGTGCCAGTTTGAGACTGCATCATTACTGACCTCATTTAACTTGTCTTACAATTAGGCTGCACAAGGAGTTAACAGGACATCTGTGTTCTTCAGGAACTATGACTATCAGATGCCTTCAGGTTTCTAGTCCATAACTATGAGGCTATTGCCCAAATAATGTTTTACCCTAAAGACAGCATAAAAAAAAGGAAACCCAGAAAACTTGCCTTTTATCTCCTTGTAAAAGTACAGTTTATTAAAAAAAAATGCATCTTGCGTTATTATTTGAAAGTCTATGTTAAAAAGCAAACTTGTTTTAAATAGGTTATTTGATACCTTTAATAAGGTTGTGTTTGAATACCAACTAAGAAATGAGAACAATATTGATATAAGGTCACAGCCCATAAAGAGACAGAACAGCATTCAAGGGGTCTCACCTCAGGTCCCTGGCAGGATCACAGACACCTGCACATCATTCCTGACAAACATTTGTTCAACACATTCACAGAGACCTCCATCATGGAAATTCTAAATATTATCCCATCAATATCATCTATTCTTCTTTATATCCTTACCATGAGAAGTTTTTTCTAACATCAAACCTAAGTTTCCCTTGCCTCAGTTTAAATCCATTTCTTCTCATCTGCTCCACCAGACAGAAAGAACAGCCTTCTCTTTAGCACTCTAAGTATTTGAAGATTATATCTGCCTCTGCCACCAGTCTTCTGATGTTTAGAATAAAAAACCTGAATTCATTTAAACTTCCCTCAGAGGTAAGATTTTAAAATCTCCTGAGGATAATCATTGCTGGTCTGTGTTCCTCTCCAAAATGTCCACTACTTTCCTGAAAAGCAGTGCAAAACCCCAGTACTGCAGCCAAGATGTGAGCAGTGCTGAGCAGGAGGGAAGGGTGCAGGCTGCACACCCACTTAGAGACCCCATGGGAGGGAACCAAGGAGTGAACCATTCCCAGGAGCACAACAGGAAACTTCAGCAGCTTCCAGCTCCAATCTCTACCAGTGGAAATCTGGCAGCAGAGTGGGGTTTGGGTCCAGCTTCTGTTCCAGACATTTCTGTCTCTGTAAGAGAATGAACTACCTGTGAGCAACTGGGTGGTTCTCTAATCGCTCCATGTCTGGTGCTGCTCTCACTGACAAGAATTCTTTTTCCCTTGTGTGTCACATGATGAAAATGCTCCAAAGCTTGAGTAACTATGTGTGACTTACAACACTCCATACAATTACTCAGCTAATTAACCATGATGAGCCTCTTTCAATCAAGTATAATTTATAAAAATAAAAAGAAACAACCCACCCACACACACAAAACAGAAGGCACTTATTGCCAGAACTTTATTCAGATTGCATTGCTTTACACACCTTACTCTAATGTTTTCTACTGTTATCTTTAAGTATACAAGATCTGAATATTTCTAATGCTTACCTTTCTGTGTTCAATTGAAGGCTGTGGGATGACAAACTGAAATCCCAACACTGCTAGGGAACTGAGAAGTCTGAAAAGGCAAACAGTGGAACAGAACATATAAATACCACTAATACAAACTGCACATCTACAACCTATTTACAGGGTTCATACTGCAAGAAAATATTTAGATACTTGAAAACCATTACTAACCAAAGCAGACTCACTAAACTATATGAAATGTCCTGATGACATTCTATTCACAGTAGACAGTACCAGGGCCATACATAGAAAGTGCACCAAGTAGAATCCATTGACAGTATTTCACAGAACTCCATGTTTAAATTAAAATATTCTTGGCCGGGCATATTTTAACACCTCAGCATTCAGTGTCAGACTGACATATGCTCTGCAAGTTTTCTAAAGTGTTAAGTAAGGATTCACCCATCTGTGGACTAGGTCTGCTTCTAGCTCTGGCTCCTTGCTTTCCAGATGAACACCCCACCTCCAGCACACAGGAAACACGGAGAAATAGGTTCTTCCCCAGCTGCCTAACACTTGTGAAAATTGAATAACCTAATGAGCACAGAAGGTGGAAAGCAGCAGACACAGCCCACCAGAGACTCAGGATACGCAGCCAAGCATCACCCCAGTCACCACATCTTCAGTCTGAAAGGAGTCATAATGGGAACCAAGCCCAAAAAAACTCTGTTCTGTCAAGCCTCACCACCATAATGACTCCTACGAGCCTGTTACAAGTTAGGCACAGTTAGCTCAGTCTTTTGTTTGCCATAATTTGCAATGGGGACTGGTTTGCCCCCTTCTAACAAGCCACTCCATAAGAAAATATGGACAGGTATGAGAAATAGGATCAAGGTATCTTTATTTCTACCAGGAATTTGACTTTTCAGTCTACAAAGAGTATGTTTCAGACCCTCTCTAGAAAGGAAAGCTGCTAATGATTTGCTGAATTTCAATGCAGAACTAAAACTGATGGATTTGGACACAAAATACATCTGCAAACTAATGGACCAGACAAAATCCAGCTGTGTTTCCTACTCACAGCTCCCTCCTTTGCTCCCTACACAGTAACTCTTTAAATATTTCTCACTGTTTCAGGTAATTGCTGAGACAGACCTCCTAAACAGAAAGGGCTTTTTTAATACTAAGCATTGCATTACCACCAATAAAAATACTCTTGTACTAGGGAGAATGCTTTTCTTGAGTTTTCTGTTTGTCCTTGCCAACATACTGCAAAAGGAACCAGTAGGCAAGTATTGATTGCACATGGCTTATCATCACCTCATCATCTATGGCCCTCTCTCTCAAAGCAATAAACCAATTAAAGGCAAGAAAAAGTCATTACTTCTTTACTGCCACATCAATTTGGGCGGGGGGGGGGGGAAGCAGCACTTTAAAAAGTGTGTTAGAAGGAAGTATTATATTGCACAAAGCTATCATTTGTGATAAAACAAAATACTGAGGAGGTGGCTGAAATCAGAGCCAGCATAAGGCACTACAAAGAAATCACTCAAAACATGCAGTTCAGAGCGGGGCCCAATCACACAGGGGTAGATGGAAGCCAAAGGCACGAATGAATAAACTGATCTGCAAATCCCACCTGAAGTCAAAGGAAGAAATAGAATCAGAATTCAGACCTCCAAACTGCAAAATGACAGCATCAAGTCTGTCTTCAGCTGACCTGCATATCTCTTTTCCAAGTGCTCAAGTGATCTCCTAACTCTTCTCAATGAAAAATGACAAGCATCTAAGTAGGTGGAGTGCAGCCTGTGACAGGCCCAGCCCACCTCCTCTGCAAATTATATTTAACTTCCTTTTCAGAATCTCCCTACCTGATCCCTGCTCCCTTATGGCTTCTACTCCCTATAATCCCTCAGAGCATGTGAAAGAAAGTTCAAACTTTGCAGAAGGAAATGAATGCTTTCATCCTCAACAGGACAGGATTTTTCTGATCAGTCTGACTGACTACAGATTTCCATGTGTAAATTCTTCTGAAATCATGTACAAGGTTGTGAGTTCTGAACTGAATGAGAGCTGTAATCTTCAAAGCAAATTACTTACCAGATTAAAGTTCTCAGTTCTAAAATGCAAACTTGTAGTGTATGTGTGATTACTCCGTGCCAAGCCTCTCCTGGCCATTCTTTAAGGAATAACCCTCTATATGTTCGTGGCTCAAGGACAATAAACCTACTTTTTAAATTTGCTTCTGTATCTGCAGTTGGATCTGTCAGAAACAATGGTATCAACCTACTATTCCACATACACAGGAAATTTGCCAGGAATACTTAAGCTATCCTGAGGTAAGCCTCTAGCTTAAATCAGTGTGTGGCAATTTAATTTTTTTAATGTTATTTCCCTCAGCAGCTTGCTTTGGCTAACTTCTCCACACTAGGCCTTTTTATTTGTCATGCTTGACTAACCTTAGGCCTCCCAGGCTACAAGAATAGGCTTCTCCAATTTCAGTGGGTTTGATTCAGGTATTCTTACAATGCAAAAAAGCCAAAAAGAACAAGTGCTCCTCAAAACAAGGCAAAACTTTCCAAGTATCCATGAACAGGTGAGGTACCAATTGCAGCTGATCCATGGCTGTGTAACTCAGGCCTCTGTAAGAACCATCTGTAAGAACATAAGGCACCTTGGAGCCAAGTACCTGATTTGAAGTGAAGTCAGGCTTTAAATTGTCCACCTATCCAAGTTACAAAGAGCAAATTTGCTCACTTTCTTTTACTGGCAATGCCAATTTCTCTTTAACTGGGGGAGAGGGGGAGGCAAAAAGCACAAAGCAAAACAACATCGGGTCTACTGTAGGAGTAGCAAGAAAAAGTTTGCTAATTAACACCTCATTTAGGAACGTCTCATTTAGAAACACCTCTGGCAGTGAGTGTTAGCTCTGCAGAAATGAAGCTGGAGGGTACCAAAACAGATCTCTCACCTGGCTGCTGTTCTTTAGTAGTTGTATTTTACCAAGGAACATAATGGCCAACTGTGGATTGTTCAGATACAAGTGAAAGCATTTTAGCCAAGTGATCAGTATTGACTATTGCAGGATGGCTCTTGTCCCATTTTCCCGACTTCCTCCCAAGTCTGCAGAGCAGCCCAAGTCTGGGACAGCTTGGGAGGAGCTACACAGGGTGAAATTTCAACAGCAAAGATAACACAGGTCATGTCAATAATATGTGACAGATCCATTTTGATGTGGAATCTGCCCTGGCATATTAGGAGGGGGCCAAAATTGCAATTCAAAGATTGCTGTCCCAAACTCACAAGGAGCAAGGTTAGAGCAGAGGTGTTACTGCCAGTGTCCCCATCCAAATGCAAGAGCAGGGAGCTGTCATTCCTCGGAGGAGGCCAGCTTTTGTTTGTGGAGCCTGCCTGCTCTGAATCTGCTTGCCCAACTACAGAACCGGCCAGACCAGCTTAGAAACAGCTGAATGTTTCCTTTGTTAGGAAAGCTGTTTGAAAGGTCTTTCCTATGTTTGCCCACTGGCAAACTGTTTCAGGAATGCATAATACAAATTCCTGAATGAATTGCAGCACAGGTACTAAAACATATAAAACAGTAATTTAAGCCCAGTGATTGTAGTTGTGCAGCCTCATCAAAAAAACAGGCACTTTCCACTAATATTTGCCATCACATTGGCACTCACAAAGAGATGCTCTAAGCATAAACAATCACTGAGAACTTTCTTCTTTCACTATCACCAAAGAATGCTATGTCTGGTATGCATATAGTTGAGTATTTGATCCTGGGACAAGATTTTTATTTATCCTCCTATGACGCAGACAATTTAACACCCAAGCAAAAGATAACCAAATTGATATTTATTGCAGTGTGTTAAGAAAACATTAAATAAGATTTTAAATGTTTTATTGCATCACTTACCTCAAAGAAACTATTAAACTGTCTACCATGATCCTTTAATGCAAGGTATCTTGAAGTGAAAAATACCTCTTCACTGTGGTACAGCACAATGCTGATCACACACAAATCCTACAGAAAGGAAGGAGAAACACATTTAAGACTGTTTATTCAGTATTTTCCAGGATATCTACAAAAATGTATACAGACCTACATTAGTCATCTCTACTTCAATTCTCGGGACTTTACAGCAAGTCAAACTGAAAATCCAATGTATGTTACATGAACGAACTGTATGCACCCCGTTTTTTGCAACAGGACTTCAACATTGCCAAGGTGCTTTGCAAAAAGACTATGGGATGCAAAATCTTGATCTGATTCCCAAGGATGCAAATCTGGTGTTAAACTTACTTGCCTTTTTAATTCACATTCCTGGTATGTCACTTGTATGAAAATAAAACAAACAGCTTTACTTGAAGTCTTGTGTTAACAGAATTCATAGAACTGAAACTGGGTTACCAATTTTTAATGTACAGTAATATTATTAATACATCTCTACTTGTGAGCAATGCCAGGGTGATTCTTCTGTGAGTGCTCATACAGTTTGCAGAAAAAAACCCAGAAGAGCAGAGCTGTTCCCTCTATTACAGATGGCAAACCCATCCACAATGAAATTAAATGCCTTGCCCACAGTCATAGAGGAAATCTGGGATTAAACAGTATTCTGAATATAAATTCAGCTGATCCTTATTTATAAGTACTATCATTGCATTGTCTGTAAATAATTTTTCAGACATCAGGGAAATTTTTATTTTAGTAAATTTGTAATCATATATGGGACACCTAAAACACACCACAATTTCCAGGCAGGAAAGAAATCCCTGAAGTAAGGAAATGCAATATAAATCAGGAGGGCAGGGGGAGAGTGGCAAGGAGGGAGGAAAAGAGGAAATAAAACACTAACAAAACTGAACCTAAATCCATACATTTCAGGATTTCATCAGCTGTTGTCTGTATCTTGCTATTTACAAGTGGTTAAATGCTGAAATGCAGTGGAGTGAACAGAAACAAGAGAACATTGCTGTTCACAGATAAAGAGCTCTCCATTTCTGCCAGACAGCCAGATAAAAATCTACCTAAAACAGGACAAGACTGACAAGAACTTAAGAAATGTGCAGTTAGATAATGTACAGATCCCACTGCTAGAAAAATGGGGATTGTTTGCAGGTAACTGGACAAGTTAAATGTTCCCTGCCCACCCCTAAAAGTCGAAGAACAACAAATTTTTTAGGAAATCACCAAAAACTTGCAACAACTTCAAAAGAATTTTTTAAAATTTTTTTTATTTTTAATTCTTGAATTGTTTAGTTCGTTAAATGGAAGGCATTAAAAGCTGAAAACTCAGGAAAGTGTCATGACAAAAGTTCTGCGTGCAACAGGTCTGAGTCAGTCCCGAGGACGAAAGCACTAAGGCTCCGCTAAACCTCATCCTCTCCTCCCGCAGTTTCACAGCTGTCAGCAGATCTAGGAGGCTTTCTCAAACTTACTCACCGTTTTCACCACTTAACATTGTAAAACTGTTTTTTATGAGATGTGCAGCACTTCTGAAAACCGATTCTTAGTCTAGATCTTCTGCAACACTTTATATGATTTGAGATTTTAGCACCTGGGTTCAGTAAAAGCTTCATTCCTTTAAACGTTAGGCAAGCCCACACCTACAGCACCAACACAAGGCATCTAGACAGATCCCCTAAGACAGTACTTACTAACCTTATGAACTGAGGAGGAAACAAATGTCTCACTGCTACAACCTGACTCTTAATTACCAGGCATATTGATGCAATAGTCTTTTATATTACTTATTGGAAATGGAGGATCTGCCTGTTAACATAGATTGTAATCAACATGGCTTCGAGTTCTTATCAGCTTGGGTTTTTTCCAGATGTGTTCTCCTTAGTATTTTTCACTCCACAATAAGCTATTTATCCAATATCCTTGTATGGAGGGAATCTCAGCAGAACACTGCTACAGGATACAAACACACAGGAAAAGCAACCTGCACTCCCTTAATCCCCTTTGCAAATTGCACTTCATTTGAAAAGCAGAAAAGATGCTATGATAGATCTGGTTTTGCAAACAAGCAGGAGAGGGACCTCCAGTGTCCCTCTGGAGATTGTTCTTAAAGAGTACTTAAAGTCCATGGATATGTTTTCAATTTTTTCAGTTCATCTCTATCTTCATTGTCAAGGGCAGGCTGCAATACAAACTCAACTTTCAACTATATTTCAGTGCCTTTTTCCAAGCACTTCTTTTACTGCAATTCATAGATGCGTTTCTTTTGAAGGATCATTTGAAGTACACTGTGTAAAAACTGCTAAATATTTAAGTGACTTAAGAGCTTGTTTTCAAAATTATCTAAGTGCTTAGGTGCTTTCAGCCTATTGAAAGGAATGTCATTTTGGCAGTGGTGTCTTTGATATGAAAATGTGCAAATGTGACAGTCATTTTCCCTTCAGAAGATCCAGGGCAAAATGAACACGTGAAACCGCTCCACAGTTAACACTGGGATTGAATAACATGGATTTGGCAGGGAAATTTCTAGAAGCCTGATGAGGTGTCCTTGTGTTAGTTACTGCAGAAAGTCGTGGAATGTGAAAGTCAAGGGGCTGAAAGCATTACAGAACCATCTGGCAAAAGACTTTCTAGTAACCCTACTTACAGCAGGAGAGATACTGATTTCTCAGCTGGAACAACCCACTCTCTTGTACTTCACAGAGTTAGCAAGGCTTTCTCCACTGCACTAAAATATTTCACATTTCAGCAGTCTTCCCTATTTCACCTCCAAGTGGAATGATAAAAATCTATGAAACTGGGTAGGGGAAAAAAACCTCAAAACACAAAACCACACACTCCCCAGAAAACCCAATCAAACAAACCAACCAACCCACCACAGAGGATGGGAAAGAATTCAAACCTTCTCTCCAAAACAACCATGGTGTGACAATCAAAGGGAGAGGTGTTTCACTGCATATAATAGAACGTGCATCAGGTCACAGAAAATGGGATGAATAAAAGGACTCTGCTTAAAGTCTCTTCTCCCTTCTCACAAAGGCAGTGCCCACTTGCAGTCACACACTGCAGCCCTTTGTCAGCAGGGCTCAGATAAATGTCTAGGTGACCTTAGAAAATAAAAATGCTAGTTAGTAATGCAGATTTTAAAAAGAGGTAGAGATGGATAATGGCAATAACTCAAAAAATAACCTAGTAGGCTCATAGGCAATCACAGAAATTTGCTGACATGGACAAAAAGAGATTTCTCAAAGGGTTAAATGATGCAATACATCGAATTATCTAAAAAGACACCACAAACACTGTTATGGAAGTTATGAAAAGAGGAAGAAAGTCTTCTGGGAAGCCAACAGTAACATTTCACCTTTTGTCTAATTATCTTCAAGAAACGTCTTCCTACAAAGAGGTTTGAATTTTTGCAGAAAGCCCATGAATTAGTTACCCCAACCTCTTAATTATCACGGGACTCCTCACATGCAGGTTTTCATGTGACTGTACCCTTTGTGTATTATGAGTGGACGGTATTTCACTTCCATGAATTCCAATATCATTTTAGCATCAACCTATACTTCTTGCAAGTCCTGTCAACTCACATATATCCATATACATCTGGGTATTAACTATAACAGAAATTTCTTAGCCTGAATATGTACAGTACCTACTTAAACAATATGAGACCCTCTATTTTAACTCACAACAAGGATGTGAGATACATCTTGTAGAAACATACACTAATTCAACCAAGTTTAAAGTGTTCTGAGCTTTTAGCCTATTTTACCTTGTTAACTTATATCAAGCCTTCCTTCAATATTTATCATTCTGGTTAGATTATGTATCTTGCCAGCTACTGACAATGGCAACTTGAAGTAGCTACAAAACTTGAGCATCGTCCCAAAGTCACGTTTCCACTGATGTGAAAAGCTCTCTTTTTGTAGTATTTAGTGGGGGGAAAAATAATAAATAAAGAATATTTAGAAACATTACACCCTTTAAGACTGCCTTTGAGTATGTTGCCTAGTATGTTGGTATAGTGTATCTGTTAGTTTAGTTGTTCACATCTATTAAATCATGTTCAGTGCAAGTCCTTTGGATTGCATCCAAAATTCATTACATTCACAAGACTTTGATAAAGCACTCACAGTGCGCCAGGTTTATCTGGCTACATAATTTGTGCACACATCCAGCAGCCTGAACTGCAGCTGTTGACACCTACCACCAGAGTTTTAATCTCTTCAAATGTTCAGTAACTACATTAAAACATACACTTGTCTCTGGAAGGTGCATAACAGAGAAATCTAGCCCTATATCTGATAAAAAGTTCTGATGCTTACATGGAGCAAGCCTTTTATTAAAACAGAAATTGCAAGTTACCCCACCTAACCCTGAAGGTGCCTTTCTGTTTCATTTTAAACGCTTTGAAAACTTCCAAGTTCTCCTTCTGGGTGTGTCCAGAACGACTGCAGTCCAAGAAAGCTCAGTGCCTGTCTCCAATCTAAGCTTGACTGAGCTCCAGAAGTTTTCGTTCCTTTGCCTAAAACACACATGGTGCAGTAATTGTCCTCCAGGATATACACAGAGCGATGATCAAGCCTCTTACATTCACAAATGCAACTAACTGGCTCTCCAACGTAGCCTGTGGAACCACCCCCTTTGGCATCCCGGGTGGTGACTCACCTGCCATAGGGCCCTGAGTGACTCACCCTTCTTGGGGTGGGGAACACCCTCCCTGGGACCTCGGGGCGCCCCTCACCCCCAGCTGATCTGGGCCAAGGTGCCACCACCTCTGCAAAGCTCTGCTCCCACACAGGAGCACCAAAAACCCCAAATAAAACAATAACTGTGAGGTTCAGGGCCATCCTGGGGCAGTCTTGAAATTCTGGTCCAGTTCCTAGAGCTTGATTCAGCAAACATTCAGTGGTAAAACTGTGTCACCTGCTTATCTAGCATCCAATTCCATAACACTTAATTGTCGTCTGAAAATCTAGGAGACAAAGCTGGTGAAATGCAATAGTGATCATACACCAAATTTCCCAAAATATCCATTCACAAAATGCAAATTTTGG